CTCTCTCTCTCCTCTCTGACATTGTTTTTAAACTTTAATCTTTCTCTCTCCATGACTGCTTTTAAAAAGGAATGAACTCGGTTAGATTGACGGTCCTGATTTATCCACGGATTTACCTAATCCTAAATCAATAAATCATGGCATGATGTCGAAAATAAGAGAGCTAACATGCGCCGGTACGTTTGATTCGCGCCCGCATAGCTTGTCGCACGTTTACGTATATCGGTATATGGGATGCACGAGGGCTTAAAGAAAACGGAGGTGGGGTTTAGGGGCGTACGGTACGAAAGGTGCGGTGCATACGGCTTACAATAGCGAGAATCATGGGAAAGGAGGCAGGAGAGGGGGAAGGGATCAAGGGAGAGGCATATCACATTTGGATTCTGGTTTGGTCACCATATTGCGATTGGTACCCACATAGCGAATCCCGAAGAGGAGATGCTAATAATCTTTTTAAGAGGGAGAGTGGCTTATAGCTGGCAAACCATGACGTGGCATTCACCCGCCCTATCGCCTATGGAGAGAGAGAAGAGTATTCAAAAGAAGAGGAGTTTTGGGTTGTTTATTTACCAAATTACCACCACGTCCGGAACTACCCGACAAACGACTGATGGGCCCTACTCTCTTCTAAACAAAACAAACCCGACGTATGTGGCAGTGTCACAATTCCAAAGCAGCCAGACACGACATGATTAGGAGGCCCCACTCCCTTCTCCCCTCCCCACCTTGACTTGTCATTCAGGTGTAAACGTGTCAACCAACGCTCCTACTTGAGTATGGCGCGCCGAGTCGACTTAATAACGTCCGATTCGAATCTGCTTTTCAGATGGCGATACCTCTTTCTCTACTTATTTTCCACGTGCACGTACCAATAATACATGGGAAAGAAACATAAGATTACTACTGCGCGTCTACTGTCTATTTATTACACGGAAAGAGAGGTCGACCCTGCCCCCTGCCTCCTGCCCCGTGCCCATCCATTCTTCTTTTTAAACTGAGTCGTCTTCACTTCTGCAACTGCAAGGCGGGCCGGGGCCGTTCAGAGAATTTTCTTTTTTTTCGACTCCAATGTATTTCGACCATACGATCAATACGTGTTTGATTTGTTGTGCAACAGATTTCGGCCATTACATCTTAACACATGTGCAAACTTCTTCAAGTACAATAGATTTGTGCTCAATCCAATTAAAAATTTTCAGAATTTCAGATTGCCTTGGGTGGACCGGATTCGAATTTTTTTTTTTTTGCAGCTCCATTAGTGATGGTAGTTAAAAACTACATGAGATAAAAAAGTAATCACTGTAACTTATAATATTAATTACAAATCATATATATGTTATTCATGTAAGTGTTGTGGCTATACATAATTATACAGTTTAAAAATGCAAATCCAATCTAATTATATAAAAATATCTTCCGGATCTAATTTAATTTGATTGGATCTCAAATTTGGTGTCAGACTTTTGGATACAGGGAAAATTTCTGATTAGTACTATGTATTTTGGGCCTAGTGTCATTTTGGTCTCCAAACTTTAAAATGCAATAATTCAGTGCTTAGATTTGTGTCAATTTAATATTTGACATTAGCAATCTATTAATCAGCCGTTAAATAGTATTTAAAAAAGACACAAATGTCCTTCAAATGTCATCAAATTTTCTTTATCAATCATCCAAACATTAACAAAAAATTAACAATTCCAAATCCTTGCCTCTTCAAAAAAGTTGGGGTTACGTTTTAATGGTCATTCTAGAGACCCCAACTTTATTGAATAGAAGAGACAATGATTTAGGACTATTAATTTTTGTAAACATTTAGATGGTTAATCGAGAAAATTAAATAACACTCAAAGGGTATGTATGTTATTTTCAAATGCCACTTAACAACTGATTAAGAACTGATTAACAACACATACTAGGCCCAACATACAGGATACTAATCGAGAATTTTCTCTACTATTATTAATAACCAGAATAACTCCGAGTCAGACTTGAAATGGGAACCCAAGTTTCCCACCGAGACAGTAACCCCTTGGTTCATCAACCCTAAGTTTATATAATAATAGCACATTGCACGTGTATCAGTACACGCCTCAGGCTCATGTTAACCAGTTTCTTAGGTATCATGCCTTCTCGGTGTGATAGTGGGCTTTAAATTTACTTGTGAAAATTTGGGACGAAGTTAGTTAACGGTTGACGAGGAAGAAAGATAAAAAGAAAATTAAAAGATCTGAAATCTACTTCCACCATCATGCATAATTATGCTAAGAATGAAGGAGTCATAGACCAAGTATCGGTTCACTTGTTTCTTAACTGTAGAGGCAAATTGGCAAATTTGAACCATATATACCTTGCCATCAATTTAGCTTGTCACACGGAGAAAACAGAAAAGAATCAAACTTCCGTAAAATCCAAAAATCCGTCACTTGCAAAATGCAAACAAAACAATCTGCCATAAAAAGAATGCAATAGAGTGGGAGGAGACACCATGCTAGTTGATGTTATACACGTGGCAAATTCAAAGTACACCCCACAATTAGGTGGTTCTGACATGCCACGTCAACCATCCACGTTTCAAAATGCAAATACCTCTAATTAAGCAAGATGATGCATAAATCAGATGGTTAAAAGTTATTTAAACATGCTTATATTCAGTTGGGTCACGATCATATGATATATAGCACGTGGCAGGGTTTGAAGCCAAAGTTAAAAACCGTAATTACGTGTACTGAGGCAGATCGAGGCCCCACACACTTTCCCTCATTTTATATTCTTCTTCTGTTGTTTTACTTGTTAATTTCTGCGGTACACTATTTTACTACCGTTTATTCGTTAACTCGTGTGGACGCGAAGAAGGCAGCGAGACGTGTTTTGCAGTGTCTCGGGAATGAAAGTTTTGGTTCCTATTATTGTTTCCATTGGTTCCAGAAAAAGGGATATATTTAATCAGCGGCTGCCAAATGCCAACGTGACTGTGAGGAGACATCTTCGACGCCCGTTCCCCAAATGACCATTGTAACCTTAACCCAGTCTCAGGAAGACTTACCGTTTGGACAGTTAGGGAACGAACACCGTCAGTGTTCACATCGTAGTATATTCTTTGAAAGACTGAAGTGCCCAGGGATATTCGCAGAGGTGCTATTTTTGACAAGGGTACAACTGTAAATATACGAGTAAATTGTGTTGGAGAAAGGCGGTACAGACCGCACGGATTGGGGGTGGGTAATGGGTTAATGGGTTTGCATTTATAAAGTATAAACACCTCCGATCGGTTTATGAGTTGGAATCCTCTACGGGAGGAACTGGAGAAATAGAGGGAGAAGAGAAGAGGAAGAGCGGATCCATTGTTGATCTTCGCTTGAGGCTTGAGGGACAGGGATACAGATGGTAATGGGGCTAAAGCACGTGAGCAGGTACAAATTGCAAGTGCCGTAACTGGTGGAGGACAAAATAGGTTGAGCCGCGAAAGGAAAGGAAAAAGGAGGAAGCGTTTATTTGTAGCACGAAAACGGTGCTGCCAGTTGTCCCCTTGTAACGGCTGCTTGCTCCAAGTACGATTCCCCATATCTCGCTTTCTTTTTGTTGCTTTCCTTACTCTAGTCTCTTCTTTTTTTTTTCCTTTTCTTTTCAGTTTTTTCAGTTTTTCCTCCCAAACGTATTCCTATGGCCATGTATTGATGAGTATTGAGTAGAGTCAGTAGAGCGTATGAGTGTAGAGTGTAGAGCGTAGAGTAGAGCCCCATACGCATCCATGCATTTAATTAAGATCCTGGCTCCGCTCCTTCCCCGCTCTCAAGACGGTTAACGCAGTTAGATGGTTGATTGAATCTGTGTCTGCTTTGCTGATAATAAGTTACCCAATTTTAAACGGAAAGAAGTTGGAAGTTTCCCAACCCACGCGGCAGTTTTGATTTTTTTTTTTAAGGATTTACCGCCCAGAAGATCTCGCCAGATTAGTTATCACCCACCGACCGAGAGCAACGTCTCAGTCAAACTTTCAAAAACAATAATAATATTTCTATGCATTTTTTTCTAAAATAAAAGATAGATTAAAATAATAAAGGGAAGGAGGGGGAGCCAAATAGCAAATTAGCAATCAATCCACAGGCAGAGAGGCAGCAACAAGTATAAAGAAGTAGGTACGACGTACGAGTAACAGAAACGGATACGAATCGGTCTTAATTAATTAATCGTTTCTTAATACCTCTCTCTCGATAAATAAATAAAAAAAAAGGATAAGATTAAAATAAAATAAAAATCTGAAGCATGCAGCAGCAGGAAGCAAGTCGGAAAGTCTCCAGTGGTGAGTGAGGAGAAGGAGAGGGACTGAGGACCGGAATGGGTGTCCGGTCCGTACAGGTGAACCCAGAAAGGGGTTGGTTTTGGCAGTTCTAAAAAGGGGGCCCGTCACCGGCTCGTGTCGGTGAAGAGAGGGAAGGCCGTTAGGGGGGGTGGCAGGCTTACAGGCTGGACTGACAGGATGGCAGTAATGATCCGCCCTCCGATTCGGCGACCGCTCTTGTCGTTATTACCAGCTCAGCACTTCCGTGCGGCCGTTCTGATAAAGAAAAATCCCTCACGAAATGCTCTCCAGCCTGGCTCAGTCAAACTCATCCGCTCCCACCCAACCGTACTCTTCAAGTTATCGATAAATAAATATACGATTTTCCATAATTTATCGCCCCATAATTTCCCTCCCTCTTTTATCATCGGAGTTTTTAGTTTTAATTTTTTAACCACTATAACTTCCCAAAAAGAGGAAAGTTATTTGGAGAAATAATAAAAAAGAAAGAGAAAAAAAATATATTTAAAGAGATCTGAGGGTGTGACTACGATGTAAATCAGTTCAGTGACGAGTAGACGCGTGTCCTGTGACAGCTGTATGCAAGCACAACCGCCTGCCTGGAAGAAACGGTGCTCTTGACGCCTATGACCGGTCACGATAACCGGCTATCCCGGTAACCTCACCTCTTCCGTTATATACCTTCCCACTCCTCCCCCAACCCCTCTCGCCTTCTCCTTATAACGCCTCAGGGCGAGGATCCCCCACCTCTCAGCTCTCACCAGTCACCCCCCTTCTCTTTCTGGACTCTAGAAGTCTAGAGCTTGTGCTCTTATCCTCCCTCTCTCCTAGCAGTAGCCACTCTTTCTATGTAAATTGCCTCTTCCCTCTTGTTTTCTTTATTTTATAAATTTTTTTATTCAGACGAATTCGTCTTCCAGACTTAGGGTTAGAATTTCTAACGAGAGGATCCATCGATCTTTCATACTCCATGTCTTCTTCAAGGAAGGATGTGGATCGGATCAAAGGGCCATGGAGTCCAGAAGAAGATGAAGCGTTGCAGAAACTTGTTCAGAAGCATGGACCTAGAAATTGGTCTCTTATAAGCAAATCCATCCCTGGTAGATCCGGAAAGTCTTGCCGTCTCCGATGGTGTAACCAGCTGTCTCCTCAGGTGGAGCATAGGGCCTTTACACCGGAAGAAGACGAGACGATCATCAAAGCGCATGCCAAGTTTGGAAACAAATGGGCCACGATCGCTCGTCTACTTTCTGGTCGCACCGACAACGCGATTAAGAACCACTGGAATTCTACTCTCAAGCGCAAATGCTCATCCGTGACTGAAGATAGCGGTGTAGATGGACATGCAAGTCAGCCGTTAAAGAGATCGGTGAGCGCTGGCGCAGCGATTCCACCCGTCTCTGCTCTCTATCTTAGCAGCCCTAGCAGTCCTTCTGGATCCGACGTAAGTGATTCTAGCCTTCCGGTGATGTCATCTTCTCACGTCTATCGACCTGTGGCGAGGACAGGCGGTATCCTACCTCCTCAGCAGCCGCCGCAACCACAGCTGGAAACATCGTCTTCCACCAACGATCCTCCAACTTGTCTGAGTCTTTCCCTCCCCGGAGCCGACTCGTGTGAGGTTTCGAATCATGTCTCCGGATCCAACCATGCGCCAAACCCTCCAAACACTAGCCATCTAGTATCGCCACTATCTCTTCCACCGCCGGCGGCCGTACTATTGCAACAGGTGTCCCCGGCGCCTCACCATACGCAGTTCAACGAGTTCGCGTCACCTGCGGGCCCGGTTGAGAAGCCGTTCATGCCGTTTAGTACAGAGTTTCTATCAGTGATGCATGAGATGATCAAGAAGGAAGTTAGGAACTACATGTCAGGGCTTGAGCAGAAAGGCCTATGTTTGCAGGCTGACGGGATTAGAAATGCTGCAGTGAAGCGTATCGGCATCAGCAAGATCGAGTAGTAGAGAGATGGAGATATCGAAAGGAGTAGATGAAAGAAGACCTTGAAAATAGAAGAGAGGGAGGGCGAGTAAGGGAGAGAATGAGAAAAAAAACTATCTTGTTTTTTTCTTTCTCTTCTCGTTTTTTATACAAATAATTTTGGTAATGTACAGAAAACAGAGATGGAGTAAGTTCCGGAGGTCGATGATTGTGAATTAGAAAGGAAACACGAATCGAGAAGGAAGCGACGATCGCCGGATCGGTGTTAGAAGACTCATGAAGGGGGGAAAAATGAATTTCTTTTTTCAACAGACAGCAAAAAATGAACTTTCTCTTTCTCTGGCCTCGTTCATTAGATTTAGAAAGTTTAAAAGAAGCAAGAAATTTTCAATCCAATCCAAGTTTTATTCGTTTTTTTTTATTTACTTGAATCCTCTCGTTTATTTCTGTTTTGGATCTTGAGTTTTGAGGTATTTCTCCTCCTGAAATCTTTTGAACTTTTGCCAAGAGCAAGAGACGGGTTAAATTAAAATTTGAAAACGTAAACAACCCCAGAACTAAAAGCAAAATTCTATTTAATTTTTATCTTTTATCAAATTAAGTTAATATGTTGGAAATATATTTTATATATTTACCTATTAAGTAATAACTCTCAATATAAATATTATTGTACTTGCTTCAATGCTTCTTACCAAAAAATGAATTAATAATTTAATATAATATGATGGGTTGAACAGAGGGATTATTTGGATTTTATACCATTGCTACTAATAAAAATATCAATAAGAATAAGAATAATATAAATATCAATAATAATAACATGCAAGGCAAATTTATAAAAGACCCTTTTAAGATAGAGATGAAGAATACAATAACAAGCCAATATCTACGGTGCCGGAAAGGTATGATACCGGAAGATCCTTAATTTAAAGAGCTGCAGCTGCCTGATTTGTTAGTTGTTACAACTTTTATAATGCCAGATTGTTTTTTAGGTATCATATATGCCTTTCTGGTATCATAGTCGGACTCCAATAACGATAGCCACATATTTTCGATGAGAAGAATTACTGAACATAAAACATGGAAGTAATGACACATCAATACTCGTTTTCTTTATTTCCTTATCATTCGCCACCTTGTTTAGACTTTTCTTTGTTGATTGATCTAGAATTATTGGACCGTTTTCTGAAGAGTAAACCAGCTAGGCGGAGAAGTATGACTCTCTCCTAACCTCTCCCAACTCTTCAACTAACCAAAAACCATTCATCCAACTGTCTAGCCACTGATAAACTAACAACTAATCTGAATCTTATCCCCTAACCAATTCGTAAACGACAGCAGAGATGGGGGGCTCCTCTATCTCTAGTCTCGACTCTTGATGTTAACAGTTGCCTTTAGCAGTTAGCACTAATTAATTAATTCCTAGAATAGACGGTCCTCTTCACCAACTAACCATACGTTAAATGAATAGACCTACAAGCTACAACCATTCTGCTTTTCTTGTTGTTTCTGCCTCACGGCTCACCCACCCGACGTCAACTTTGCATCCCGGTACAACCTGGTGTAGTAGTTTTAACTTGTAGGAGAGATGAAAACCAACAAACTCGGTAGTTAGATAAGTATTGCTTACTCAGCATTGGTTTTTTATGACATCTGTTTCTTTTGCTGCTGCAGTGACAGTGATACGATCAACTTCTTTTGGTTTTTCATAAATCCTGTTGTCCTGCTGCTCAAGTGAAAGGCTAGTTTCAGCACTTGTACTGCTCGCGTCTTGCAGTGAACCCATTACTACCCGTTGCTATTTCTAGCTTTCGTTACTGTCGATTGCTTTGTCGTGGCTAAACCCTTCCAAACCTATATTGTTTTTATTTTTTATTTTTTCAAACTTTGGCTGCTTTCACCTTCTACAATTAAGGTTGTCGCCATGTTGGTTTTGTCTTCTCTCATCTTGCAAGGGATGTGATTGTGATGCTTCCATGTGTTGGACAGTGGTTATGGATGCCCCCACCCAAGCAAATATTAAGAGGTTTGAATTCGTTGACTTGATCAAAAAGGTTCTTGAGGCCATACGCCCATCAGGTTTCTTGTTCAGACATTCTTGCACCATCTGCTAGAGAAGATGTCTTTTTTCTCTTACGATCATCTCCTTCCTCATTTCAAGTACATACTAAAACGAAAACCATTCGTTAAGTTATCCCACGATCCAGGGCAGGTGCCACTAAACTGAACATTAAAATGGTGTTTATAGAATTGTTGTATACATAGTAGCTCTTTAATTGACACACAAATGGATTATTTGTACTTGCATTTTATCTCCCAGTTGATAAGAATTTTTGCCATCTGGATGGGGGAACTTGACCTTGTTGGGACTTGGGAGTGCGAGAGGTTCGGTGAAGCCATGATCCATTTGGGTAACACCAAGTGTGGGTTCATGACGACAGATCAAAAAGAAATTGCTGGTGAAGAAACTAACTGCTGCCTAAATTAATATACGAATATGCAGTCTGTTAGGGAGAATGAGACATCTATTGGAACTTGAAAAAGGAAACTCATTAGATCTATCAACCTTTTTCTTTTGATAAATACACCTTTTATCAACTTCCATCTACAAGTAAACAAATTGCTTCAAGAAGTACATCAAATGGTAAGTTATTGGTACTTTATTTATTTTTTATACACACCATACTCAAGTAATGTAGCACAGTTACCAATAAATACATGTTACAACTTACAAGGGTGTAGCTTGTATGGTGCTCGAGGTGGGAAGTCTTCTACAGAAACAAGATATTGTAGATTTTAATCTGTCAAGTATGTGTTGCAGATCCTGCTTCCAGGACCAAGTAGGGTCATTTAGGGCACGAATTGAATTGAGGCAAACAAGAAGTGTGCCACCTTCATGCAAAAGAACCTGCATTTTAAACAGAGATTAAGTGTGTCTGAAGTAACGCATAAAAAAATGTGTCTGAAGTAGTTCCACATGGGTGGATGGGGAAACAGAAGTAATAGGAACTCAGAACTAGGTAATATCACATTAAGTTGTTAAATTTGCATTAAGCATCCAACCTCTATGCTTTTCAACATTGCATTACATTACATCCTAATACCATGTTTAGTTTCATCCTTTGCACATAGACAAACCCTTTGCTTCATTCATAAATCTATCATTCTCACAAAATGTCACTTCATGGTAAGGAATGGTGTCCTGAAATCTAGACAAACTAAAGACTAAGTTGGAATATAACTTGTCAGAAGCCAGACCTCAAAATACTACAACGATAATCAAACTAGTCCAAGATTGAAACTCTGGATCTGGAGCTTAAGGACTCATAAGAGGGTCCTTGGATTACCTCCTGATGATGGGTGCTTAAGTGCATTAAGGGGTCAGAACCACTTCATCCACAAATGAAAACGAAATATTAAAGAAATAAATATATCAATTAACAATGCACTGCAGTGCTCATTCTTTTAGAGAAAAGATAATTTTCATTGCAAAAAGGAAAGGGAAAGGATGTATGAGCACTGCAGTGCTTACCTCCTCAGCCCCCCCCAAAAAAAAAAAAAAAAAACTCCTCACCCCAAAATAAATTAGAGATTTAGCTCTCAGCCTCGACACCATTCAAAGGTCATTATTTGTTGGATAACCAACTTCACAGGTGGTCCTTGGACTGTTCAACATCTCATAAGAGAAACAAAGTTATCAGAATCCAAAATGAACATTTGGTCTGGTTGTGTCTCCCTCATAGGCTACAAGATTTCAATTTTTTTAATAACATTCATGGTCATACTTGTAAAAAAATAAAAAAAAATTCATGGTCATTCATCCAAAAACATTCATGATTATTCATCCAAGAACTGGTCATTCATACTTGTCAATTTTGAAGACATCCAACAAACTCTATCCATCAAAATGGTATCTTCCACTACTAACAATAGATTAATAGGGTTGTTATCAATGAAGAGGATTGGACAATCAAAGAACTGGTCTGTAGAATAAGTGTAACCATAACAAAGGTGTTAAAATTGATGGGAGCAATATTGGCAAGATATAACTGGAAATAAATGCATTCAAGGGAGCCCAAGAAGTTGGTACAATAATGGAGGCTGAGATGTTCTGATCATGCATCATCATAAATTCATAATCATCTAAGCTTGTCCCAACTATACAGGTTGGCTACATGAAACCTGCTTCGCCATTACATTCTATTCGGTGCCACATACATTGTTAAATTATGGCTGCTTTAAATCATTTCTCATTACTTCCACCCAAGTCCTTTTAGATCTGCCCCCAGCTCTTCTAGCCCCTTCAACTTGTAACAGTAAGGTGATGTAGATGGTCTTCTATGCACGTGAACAAACCATCTCAATCTACTTTCTGCCATTTTACCACCTCTGGAGCTACTACTAGGTTCCTTCGTATGACTTCATTTCTGAACATGTCCTTTCTAGTTTTACCATTCTCCATCTAAAACATTTGCATATCTGCCACACTCATTTTTTGGACATGTTAACACTCTGTTACAACATATCTGGCCTTACAACTATTTTATAGAGTTTTCCTTTTAGCCAAAGTGGCAGTCACCTATCACAAAAGACTCCAGATGTACCCCTCCATTTGGCCCATCCTGATCTAATTCTAGGGGCAACATCCTCTTCAATCTCTTCTTTTGTTATGAATTATTGAACCAAGGCAATGAAGGAGGTCACACGGAGTTATCTCTTGGTCTCCAATTTTAAGTTTACTTTGATTTTGCACACCTATTATTATTAAATTTATATTACATATATTCTGTTTTAGTCCAACTTACCTTAAAACCTCTTTGTTTTTATTGCAATTGTCCATAAACCTAATTCCACATTTAACCATTTGCTAGTTTCAGCAATTAATACTATAGCAAACACTAAGCATCATGAGACCTCCTATTGAATATGCTTAGTCAAACCATCTATGACTGATGCAAATAAATAAGGACTGAGTGCTATACCTTGGTAAAGACCCGTTGTAACCAAGGTTCAAAATATCGATACGCCCGTGTATTGGCAAAGGGCGTATCGGTACTTAAAATGGCACACTTTTATATTTTTTTTCCAAAATTTCGTTTTTGGGCCTATTTTTAACTATATTTTGCATTAAATAGAGGCCGGTTCCCGAAACACCTGTAAATAGGTGTATCGTGAAGTGCCCGATGCGGGGCATATCGTATCGAAATTTTGAACCTTGGTTGTAACTATAAAATTTGACATCCCTCCCGCATGTGTTCTAACATTAGTTTTTTGCACCCTCGTATATATCCTTAATAGGTCCACATACCTATTTGGGACTTCTTTTCCAAAACCCACCATATTACTTCCCTACGAACTCTACTATATGCTTTCTTTAGATCAATGAAAACTGATGTAGGTATATTTGGCCTACTTACTAGACCCTGACACGTGCATCGGCTAGGGATACTTCCATCAATTGACAATCCCCCAAAGGGCAGCGAGGTAACTCCCACCCTGAACGATTGCGCATTTACTCACGGGTCACCAATTAAGGGGTCGTGGTTGGCCGACGCCTCACTAACTCCCCCTATGTGACCGCAATCTACATGATGGTTACTCGTCATTCATTACTCCTCTCCCGGGCGACTCCAACTATGAAAGGGACACTACAGCTAAAGGTACGATAGGCATACTTGAGCTATCACTCTCTTGTGGTGACCTTAGCTTACTCTAAGCCCTTGGCTAACTTGACAGTCCGAGTCCTTGCCCCTGGGAACACTCTTGGGGCCTCTGATGTCTTTTCACTCTTAGCAGGCAGGACCCGCAGCCCTCGGACCTCGAAAATTACCTCGCTGCCCTCGACTCCAAATTTGGCAGCAACAAAAACCATATGGAGATCTCCGTTCTTCACTCTAAACTTTTCTATCAATTATCATAACAAAAAGATGGCTTCCATGGTTGATCTCCTCGACATAAACTCAAATTGGTTTTCTGAAATATTTGTTTCATGTTGTAACCTTTGCAGTTTGTACAATTATTCACTCCCAAAGTTTCATTATGGCTTCCATGGTTAATTTCACAATAATTATTACAACTTGTTTTAAATATAGGCACCATAGTGCTCTTTCTCCATTCATCCAACATTTTCTTGTTTTCATTATCTTATTAAATGGTTTAGCTAGCCATAATAAGCCCACCTCTCCCATACCTTTCCAAACCTCTATTAGGATACCATCAGGTCCTAATGTCTTTGCCTTCATCTTTCTTTAATGTCTCCTTCACTTTGACGATTCTAACTTTACTTAGTTATATGTTGCATTTAGTTATAAGAGTTGCTAATAGCATCCTCTACACATTCTTCATTTAATAATTTTTCAATATAGTTTTTTCCATCTTTCCTTAATTTTTTGATCATGCATCAAAGACCAATAACTACATTAATGAGTTGTTGTAGGTAGAAAAGACTTCCCTTCAAAAGTTATGAAATGATTGAGGAGACTATGGAAAAAGGATAAACAAGGGGCACAATTTGTTACCAAGCAGGTGAAAGGTAACAATGAACATTCATATATGTTCTTGCCTTAGGTAAACAATATAATTCATAGAACACCCATTGTATGGTCCAATGTGTCATTGCAGGAAGATTTCCTTAAATCATTTAAACATACTGCTAAATGCACAGTTTTCATGGTTCATGGCGCTAACACTTCCTTGTGTATACCCCAAAAAGCTGATTATTCAGTAAATGAAAGTGCAATCTCTGCAACAGATTAGACATCTATGAAGATCTAGAGGAATTTATATAGCTTTCAAAATTGGATGCAATTTGCATAAAAAATCCATAAGAAACTATCAAACACTTCTAGATGATTTTGCAGGTACAAGTGCAACTGAGGGAAGCTGGGAGGTGTCAGTGATTCTGTGAATCACTTCATCATCCATTATATTATAGCTAGGTTGGCACAGGCCTTGTACTGGGACTTCTGGCTCAGAATGGATCCTTTCCTACATCTTTGCCAACCATGTATATTTTTAAGGACGGAAATGGACAATTAGAACCTTCATAACAAATCAGCATAGACAAAAGAAGTTTCTAACTATTGGACAACACCATTATGTTCAGAAACTCGGACATTTTTGTTAATACAACAAATGTGATTGCATTATTAGTTAGAGCCCAGAGAGAATTCTTTGCATGCATAAATATTTTTCTCAATTTTCTAAACTATCCATGGGCTTACTAGTAACAGATTCAAATTAGTATTAGTCAACATCTTGTACAAAATGAAACATACCGTCAACCACAGTGGGAGGAAACCCAAAACAGATGGAAGAGAAGCAAAAACAATGCAAGATAGAGCAAGAACCACACTTTGCTTGACCTGCAAGAGTGCATTCAGATTAGATTAATTAACATGATCTGCAGTTCCTGCAGAAATATAAATGGCAGTGGACTGATGAATACCAGTGATGTTGTTTGACGAGCTTTAGCAATGCAAAATGGTACACCAGAAATATTATCCTGCAACAACAGAACATCTGCAACAGCTATAGCAGTTGCACTGGCACGTTGAGCAAGTACTATACCCACAGTTGCAGCAGCAAGTGCTGGTGCATCATTGATACCATCACCTACCATTATCAAACCTCCTCCTATGAAGAAGTTGCAGAACTTGCTCAGCTAAATTGCATATGACATCAAAGTTGATATAAAAGAATCAATGAAAAAGATTCTTTCTATAAAAGTAACTATGCAGCTGACTAAATTATGTCATATTTTGCTTATATGAATGGAAAAGAGAACTACCATGAATTATTAGAACAGAAAAGACCACAAAAGAGTAGTTATGGGATAAAAAAATTACAGCATGGATGGTTCAATTGTTTAACTGCCTCGCTGAAATGGTTTCATTTGACCCTGCACAGTCTTTTCCTTTTTTTTAATCTTTTCTTGTTTTGATCAGTAAGATGATGTATGAACCCATGTTGGAAAAATATGAATATGGATCAAGTGATTGTTGAAAGATGTATTCAGGACACCAAATCAACCTTTACAAGTGTAGTACTAGCATTATCCTAGAGAACAGGTCCACAGAACAATTCGGACCTCACATCCCAACCCACCCTAAAGGTTAGTCAAGATATTAGCAGATCATCTTCAAGTCCAGACAAATGATAGTTCAACTTAACCTCTAAGGATGGTTTGTTTTTTTCCCTGCTCAGTCTTTTATGACCTGAGAATATTCCTCATTGATGAATCTATTGATAATGCTATGCAAATCTCTAACAATCCAGGATTGCCCAAAGAGCATCCATCAAAATTTAGCTTGGTCGATTTTTCTTAAGAAAACCAGACGAACAAAATTGTGTGCCTGCGGGAGGGGGTGGGATTGGACCTTGGAACTATGAACCATCAACTAATGACGGCAACGGAAACATTTCAAAAAATCTGGATAACTCTGATGGATTTTACTCCACAGGCTACCTGACATGGCTTCTAATTTGAAAAGTCCTAGTATTCCTCTATGCCAAATGCCCAAAAAATTATGTAGTAAATATTCCTACATTATCCTCTCAAGAGCACTATGGGCACCGGGCTTCAATACAAGGTACTACGTATCCTGAGAAAGATAACACTGAAAAACCACATAATGAGTAACAAGCATGAGGAGAGATAAACCTATTGTCCCTTTTCCTTTCAAGTAGCTCGTGAGTGTTAATTTTCTTTTAAGCTGCCTCTTCAAAGGAAGTTCAAAGTTCAAACCTTAGGAAGAGTTCAGATCTTCTGTGGGGAAATGCTTCTATTAGAATTATTCCAGCTTAATATCCTGCCAAAAAGAGGAGCAAATGACCCCTCTAGTCCCTCATGATAATTATTATCCTCTTCACTTGGTGTAAATTAACTATCTAAGAACATATTTGCCAGTTTTATTTTTGCTTTTTATTTTATTTTATTTTCCCATATTTTTGCAATGCAGATACTTTCAAAGTTTCAATTGTAGATCCATAGTTAGCATTAATACATGATCCAGACCTTTTACAGGTTGAAAAATATTTGAGGTTTCAAATCATTGAGAGAATATTCTGTAATGGAACAAGAAGACTAAATGAGGAAGCAAGTTTGCTTCTGGTTTTGAAATGCAGAACAATGTCACCATATTCTATGAATCATTTACTAGAAGAAGATCCTATTTTCATTTATAAACAATTATAGTATATTAATGAAGTAATAATGAATGGGTTTTGATCAATAAATTTGAATATCGCAAAGTTCTAAACCATTAAATAAACATAGGACTTGCAAAAATAATCCTAAGACATGGTCATGATTTATTTCTGGATTGAGTAGAACTTAGAAATGTGGTTGGTATGGCTATGCATTCTAGATGAAAATTCCACTGAAGAAGTTCATGTATTTATCATCAAGGTTGTCCATAGGTTTTATATTGTAGTTCTCAGCTTTCATATCTAACAAGTTTTAACCCAGTCAATATATAAGAAGGGAAGTTCAGTCATTTGATCATCCTGGATGGGAAAAGGAAAACAAGAGCTACACAAAATGGGGGTAGCCCTCCCCCAGGCATCAAGAAAACAAAGATACACAAAGCTGAAATCTTCAAACAAGTCACTTATTTCAACCCCTACTATGGCCTAAATGAGCGACACAGTCCACTAATTGATTTGCTTCCCTAAAATCGTGGACATATCGAACTTCCAAAATTCCATCACTAATAACACCAAGGCAATCAGAGATTGACATTTCAATATTCCAAGGAGGGTAGCATTGACATTGAAGACAATCAATAACTAATTTAGAATCTCCCTAAATAATTATCTTCTTGAAAGTTGAAACCGAGATCTCTTGCTAAGTTGATGGATTCCTTTTCTGCCATGGCTTCAGCTACATTCATTGATGGTAGTAAGACCTAGAGGTCTTGCTTTTCGAAACAAGACCTTACCAATTGTGTTCCCTTCCAACACAGGAAATTGCTGTGTTTCCATTATTTAACCTTGAAGCATTGAGATTTGCTTTTATTACTTCTGCTGGGGGTCTTTTCCAAGAGACCCACACTTGATTTCCTTTACTTTTGGAAATTGAATTAATCTGATCTTCATAGATAAATTATTTAATCATGTAACATGCACGACCAATGATCTTAGCAGGATTTGTCTTGGTATTTTGAGAAATTTGTTCATTTCACGATTTCCATAAGGCCCATAAAATGAACGAGACTTTCCCTCAATAGAATGGAATGATGTCATTGTTGTAATTATTTTGTTTATCAAGCCACCACTGCTTTATGGAATTCTAATTTCCATTCGGGCTCCGGCACTGGGCTTCAGTAGTATTGCAGACTTTCCTGGCCAGGGGACAATTTAAAGAAGGTATGATTCTGGTTTTCTACTTGCCCTTCACAGCTTTGGCATTCAGGGTTAGTGTAGTGTGGAGGCCCTAGTTAGAAAGAAAAGATTTTGTTGGTAATTTTTCATTAATAAGAAGCCAAAGGAATGTTCTCATTTTTTTTCTTTTTTTATTATTTTGGGAGGGGTATTCATTTTCCAAATTTTCTTAATGCCTCTTCAAGCTATGCTATTTTAATGCGTCAGGTTTGCAGCAATCCAACAGGCTGTCTTAACCATGAACATACCTCTGGTATCTCCATACCACACAGTCGGTTGTAGGCTCTCTAGGGATTGGAAGCTAATAACCTTGGTTTAGGTACTGAAGATGGACTTTTGAAGATGAGAAAAGTTCTGGTCTAGTAAACTATGATCTACTCCACAACTCTAAAGAGGGCTAATTTGCCACCATCACCAGGCAGTACAATTACTTCAAATGTTAATTTATAGTTTTTTAAGCATTGATATTGCAAGTATGTCAAGAAAATTTAACATATTTGTAAGGGGAAAAAATGAAGGGCCAATTGCACGGTGCAATTTTAAAATCTTAGGATGGCAAGTGTGAGGGTGTAAGTTTTAGTCTGACAGCAGCCACTTTGTGTAAAAATGCTGGAGGTTAGGTTCATATCTGGTCTACCCCTCCCAAGACCTGGATGACCAGGGCCAGCATTGATTGGGTAATGGCCTTTAAGTAGAAATAAAACTAAAACTATTAAGTCAGAATGTGCCAAGATGATGAAGTAGAAAACCCACCTGCATCTCTTGAGATGGTTTTAACTTGATTGAGCTTATCCTCAGGCTTCAAGCCACTGTAGACTTCATTGATGCCCACAGAATTTGCAACTCTCCATGCAATTGATTCATGATCACCAGTTAACATCATTATACGAAGCTTTGCCTGATCTTTTAATGCAGCTATGACATCTGCACCACCTGATCTAGGCTTATCCACAAAATGGAACAATGTTACCTGCAAAAATCAATTTATTGCTTCAGAATTTGCATCACCAGAAAATAGTATGAATGCAATAGCAAACAGAATACAAGGTTTTCTATGCAATTTTGAGATTGTAGCCACAACTGACAAAAACTTCAGGAAAAAAATCTTAGTACATATGTATTATCCATATCTGATCACTGTCTTACCAATGCAATGCACACTACTAAAATAGTGGTTTGTTGAAACAATCACCGCATAAATAAGTGCATCAGATCACTTTGAGATCAAGTAATTGAGAAATTTGGAAAGGATGTAAAAATATGCTCTTTCTTTTGGTAATAGAATAAATGCAATCAGATTCCCTGTGTCAAGCCATCCAATTTAAAATTATACCTCATTGAGCTTAAACAATTTCAGATGTATCTGCTCTTTTCATTGGTAATTTCAAAAGTATCTTTCTACAAAAGAGAAAACAAATAGGCACAAATTGCACATAAGGAGTAGAAGAACCAAAAAGATAGGAAGAGAAAATAAAAGAAAGAGAAAAATGAAAAAAGTGCAAGAAATCTACAAATCTCAGAAGAATGGAAAAAACCTTGAATTAGGAAGGATAGAGAAGAATAAAACCTAATTAAATAGGTTTAGTTAATTACCATAGAAGATTGTTTCTTTTATAACATGGTAGCAGTTAAACAACATAGGCAAGGTTAAGGTTAAAAAACCAAAAACCAACCTTTATAGTTGAGTTAGAATGGAGATAAGGTGACAGGTAGGGGTAGGAAATAGGGCTAGGTTTTCAAATAGGTGATTATGGGTCAGTGCCATATGCAATGGACTATAGTGTCATTGAGTATAGGGAACAATGATAAGGGTTTTGAGTAGCAAATAGAAAGTGCTTGCAGCACATATTTCAAAGTAGCAGTGTAAAGAATAGAAAGTGTGACGAAATTTATGCTTCATAGATGTAAGATTGTTTGGTACCTATTTTCACAAAATTATTGCGAGGATAACATTGACATTTTTGATGTATTAGTTGAAATCAGTGAGAAGATGTCTGGTTTTCTTGTACCAAGGTTGGATGGAGATTTTACAAACAACATATTGCAGAGCCTTCATAAGATACTTCGAACAAAACAAAATTCATGTACTATTTCCCATATAGGAAGCTACATTTCCGAAGCACATTCAATAATATACAGGGAGTATAAGAAATAGTCCAACTATTCCTCCATTGCAAGACTACTCTGCAGTTTTGAGCCATAAAGTTATGTTTGTTTTGATAGAAAATAAGAGGGAATCAGAAAGTTGAGGGAAAGTTTTTATAGAGTTTTATGAAACTTCTTAAGAGTTTTTGCTCAACTTTCTGTTTCTCTCATTTTCTATCAAAGCAAGCACAGCCTAAAAGTTTGTTGAATTTTTCCCAACAAAGGAAGTGAATGTGGTGTAAACATGTAAATTGAACTGGGATTCTTTGGTTCAACAGCTTAATTGCTTCATAGAGTACTCTGCTGTATCATATACAAGGAGACAATGACATATTCCACCTTGCAAAGAAAGGAAAGTTCATATTTTCAACAATAAACCTAGTCTTAGCAATAAACATACACATAATAAACCTAGCCTTTAAGCATAAACAAAAAACAAGTAAGTTAAATCAACAATGATTCAATTATCTGCATTTTAATTCAAACAAAGATGTTTATCTATAACCAAGATAAATAAGAATCATAATAAGACAAACAACTTACCTTTTTATTGACAGATAGAGCAGCTTGAACAAATTCACTTCCATAAGCAGATGAGTTCACAGCTTCCTTTATCTTTCTTGACTCATCCTCAGACTTACAAAGTGACATAATGTACTCCAAAGAACCAAGTGAAGCCTTCAAGGGCTTACTACCAACTATTCCTGACTATAACAAAATAAAAACAGAAGTAGATTTGTGTTACCACAACTATAGACTTAAGAAGCTAAAGCATGATTTAAAGAACTCCTTCCTACAATTAGAAAATGAAAACAGATTAGTTTTTAAGCAGGCATGGCATCATGTGGAAGCCTATTTTCAAGAATTGATTCCTAATTTTGATGTTCTGATACTTGTGCAAAATCAAACTAATGTTAAAGACAAATCCTAAAAACATATTCTTTTTATGACAAGCGTGCATATGAGTGTTTATTCACATGTATTCATTTTTTTAAAGTTTTATACTTTATAATGACAGGTTACAGTCCTCTGTACATAGTGCCATCAATCCATCATTAGAAAATTGATATGCAGATAAATACAACTTGGATACAATCCATTGCGGAGAAATTTAGAGACAACCATTATATTTGACTACGAAAGCTTTCTGCACTTGATAGTCCTTGTCAGGTGGGTTCCAAGGATTGCCAATTGCTTGGATCTTCTTCCTTTTGAATGACAAGTGACCAAGTTTGTGGAGAAGCCAAGAAGAGATAACTGATATATGGCATGCTGTCCAAGAAGCTCCAAATAGGAGGAAAAAGTTGTTCCATGCCTAGGTGGCAAACTGACAAGTCACTAAAAGATGGTTTGCACTTTCCCGCTCTTGAGATATAGAATGCACACACTTAAGACAGAGACATTTTATGTAACCTTGTTTGCAACATTTGTAATGTTTCCAATGACCAGCTTCTTTTCGGTATCTCTATGTATTTTTGTATTTGTAGAAAATATCATATTCTAGGTGTTAACCTGTGAGAGAGAAGCCAGCAAGAGAGAACAAAGCAACTCCAAATCTGTTAGGGTTGATCTGAATGGTCAATCCAACCCAGAAAAGATAAATTTATGCTCAGTTTGGAAGGAGTACAAATACAAATTTGTAGAGTGCAAAACCTTGTATTTTGTATGTGTTGTCAGTTGTTTATGTATTCAGATTTAGTACCATAAGGGTACTGTTGTAATTTCTCCTCTGTTTATATTGTTCGACTGTACTAGTATAAATAATAAAATCATTCTTTCGCCCCCTATGTTCTTGAGGGCTTTCAGTCACTCGACTCATCTCTCTTCTCTC